GAACAGACTCAGACTTTGTCCACAGTTCCAGCTTCAACCAGCTGCTGACTTTATTTTGAAAGGGWAACATCAGCCTCACAGACAGAAACTGGAAGTTGGTTCTACAAGAGAGGAGCTGATAAATGAAAGCTCTGCCTCCCACTCTACTTTTAGAAACTCGAGGAACCACAAGTAAACCTGCCGTCTGAGAGCGAAGTGCTCCGTTAGGAAAATATGGAACAATAATTTATTTAATATAAGATGGAGCTTGGCTGTTGAGAGCTTTGTATGTTAGAAGTAAGATTTAAAACCCTTTAGTTTATCAGAAGACATTAGTTTGAGCAGAAATCCACAGACAGCAGAATTGATACACAGTTTGATGATATTGTTTTTTTTTTTTCCCAGTTTTCTAAATTATTGCCACATAAGTATTTTGGGGAAAAAATCTTCATATCTAAAAAAAAAAAAGAGTTTTATATCAAAACGGACTGCCATAAAAATTAGTTTTATGTTAAAACGGCCTGCCATACWTTGCCAATCCGACTCATGTGATTTTGCACACAGGCAGTCACGTGACAACGYGTAGCCGCTTAGCCTGTTTGCTAAMWTCMAYGCTAYTTTCCTCTTTCCCTGCCGSTCCCCKTGTCCGTGTTTGCCTTTGACCTGCYCGGGTTTGGARGCCGTGTGTCCGTTTAAAGCCGCGAGCTTTCAGAGGGAAGTTCTGACGTCTTTAAAGGCGAAACCCGGCAGAACTTCTTCATATCAGCTCGTTAGCTTAGCACAGCCGCGTGAGCCTGCCGTCAAAACAAACATGAGGCAGCTGCTCCTCACTWCCTAACCAGTCCACGGTCCACTTATCAAAGCCACATTTTTACATTTTCAGCAGCTGGTAAGTTGTTTTCTCCCGCTGGAGGACACACAGTTTGTTGTTTACACTTTTGTGTTGCTAACTAGAGAATCTGGATTTCCTGCGAAAATGCAGTTTTAAAAAACAAGCTGAACCCCCCCATAAAATAAACAAATAAAACAGCAGAATGAAATGAAAGTGGCAGAAAAAGTTGAAAATTAATAAAAAGAATTGTGGGGGGAAAAGCGTGCAAAACCTGAGTGTATTAGAAAAAAAAGCTAGGGGCTAAAAAAGGCTTTAAAAAGAAGGCAGATAAATAAAATATTCAATTGTAATATCTGCCAAATACATCTGTTTACAAACATCAAATATTCAATTGTAATATCTGCCAAATACATCTGTTTACAAACATCTTAAATAATAAACATTGTCTCATA